TTCTGTTTTTTTCTTTAGCCTTTGTGACACAGACCTTATGTAATGAGTTCAGTGGAATTCCTTTTTCTGTTCCCTGGAAAAGTTTGAGATGATCTCTCTTATAAAACCACCTGGGCCTATTTTGGTTCTGGTATTTGGTGATTGATTGATGAGGGTAGGTGATGGGTGGAGTTACATCTCTCATTCTTTTAGGATATTCAAGGTTTTTAATCTTAAGTAAGTTACATTTTCCTGATTGTCTCATGGAGGTTTTATTTATTTTTGGCATTGGAATTTAACCTAGGGGTGCTTAACCACTGACTCACATTTTTTAATCTTTTATTTAAAGACAGTCTTGGTAAGTTGCTGAGGCTGGCTTTGAACTTGCAATTCTCCTTCCTCAGCCTGTTTCATAGAGTTTTCAGATTTCTTATCAAATGTTATTCCTTATTCATACTTCTACCATGTATTTGAGTTTTGTCCCTTTTAAAGTTCCTAGTATTTGCTCCTTTCCCCCCCCCTAATTTATTCAATTTAATTGGTTCTTTTTTTATTTTCTCTCCTGTCAATTTATTTTATAATTTTACATTTTTTGAGTGTACTCTGTTCATTTTCTAACTTCTCATGTTAGATGCTTAGTTCATTAATTTTCAATCTTTTCTAAAATTTGCATTAAGGACTATAAAACTTTTATGGGGATCTGTGTTAGCTGAATTCCATGTATTTTGATATATCATATTATTCAGTTTTAACTTTTTTCTGTTATCCGTTACAATTTTTTTTAAACTGTGAACTAGTGAATTTATATTTTTTTCCTAGTGTATTGGAGACTTTTTTTTTCTTTATTTTTGAGGGGTGGGTAATAGGCATTGAACTCAGGGGCATTCAACCACTGAGCCACATCCCCAGCCCTGTTTTGTATTTTATTTAGAGACAGGGTCTCACTGAGTTGCCTTGCTGTTGCTGAGGCTGGCTTTGAACTCAGAATCCTCCTGCCTCAGCCTCCTGAGCTGCTGGGATGACAGGTGTGTGCCACAGAGCCCAGCTATTGGAGATTTTTTGTTAATACCTTCCTATTAATTTATAATTGTTTTACATTGTACTCCAAACATACTTTCCATGATACTGACTCCTTGGTACTTTTTGAAATTTGCTTTGTGGTCTCATAATTGATCACTTAAAAAAAGATAATGTTTTATGTTTGCTTGGAAAAAAAATGTGTATTTTAAAATATTGGCTACAAGGTCATATTATATTAGTGTTTTTTTTGTGTGTATGTTGTTATTAATTTAGCCTCTTGGTGGATTTTTTATGTGTTCCCTCCCTTTAGTTACTTGTTGGTGTCATTATTATTATTTTTTGGTACCGGGAATAAAACTCAGGGGCACTTAGTCATGGAGCCATATCCCCAGCCCTTTTTGGTATTTTATTTTTAGAGACAGGGTCTCACTGAGTTGCTCAGCGCCTCGTTGCTGAAGCTGGCTTTGAACTTGCGATCCTCCTGTCTCAGTCTCCCAAGCTGCTGGGATTACAGGCATGCACCCCCAAGCCTAGCAARTGTCATTATTTTTTAAAATGTGTGCTGGAGATGGAACCCAGCTAAGCATGCTAGGCAAAGTGCCACCACATCCCCAGTGCTGAGTGTGTCTGTGTCCTGTAGCTGGATTTGATCTGATCTCAGAGCCCTTGTGGTTTAGTTAGTGAGTTTAGCCTATTTGCATTTACCACATCATGATTTAGAGTTGGTTTTGTTTCCATCATCTTACTGTGTGCTTTCTAGTGTTCATGCTTGTTTCTCCTTTTTTCCTTTTATTTCATCTTTGTAGGATCAAAAAGTTTCTTTTATTCCTGACATCTCCCCTGCCCCTCCTCCTGCATACATTTTGGAAGTTACATGTTCTTTTTCCTTTTAGTGTTTGCCCTTAATTTTAACATGGTTGTATGACTTCCAGTCATGTCAACTAGTCAGTTTTCCTGCTTTTCTTTAGAGAAGGGCCCTGAAACCTGTTGACTGGGAACACATGCCTTTCTACTTTACTTACTCTTGTTGTTCTGCACTTTGTCATTATCACTGCTGTTTTACATAATTCTCTACTTGTGTTTACCATATTGACCAGTTTTTCCCCCCTCACTGTTGTTTTAGTATCCCAGTCCTTTTTCCTGGTTTACTTTCTTGAACTTGGGAACTTCTTAGCATTTCCGACATACTTCTCTATTTCTTTGTTTTTGTCATACCTTTCAGAAGTTTGTCCACAGTCATTCAGACATCACTCAGCCCTTCTTGTCTAGAATGTTTAAAATTATGAAATATCACACATTCAGCGAATGATGATTCCTGTACTTAAGAGAATCATTATATATACTAGAATGAACACTATGCACACCGCCACCAGCTTGAGCGTGGAACATTGTTAAGGATGCAAGTGAACTAACCATCTCCTATGGTTTTTATGGTTATGCAGTAAGAGAAACTGATAAAGCCACCCRGCTTAGGTGCTTATTTGCTATTGCTTTAAGGAAAGACATGATCTAAAGTGTGGTAGAGTGAATTCCAGTATTTGTTAAATTTTGAATGGCATCTGTTGAACACTTTAAGTGGTGGAATAGTAGCAAATTCTTTACCTTGATTGTCTTATTCAGTTTTCCCATCAACTCTTAAAGAATGAATTATTAACATACTGGTATTACAGCTGAGAAACTGAGCTTGAGAGTTGGAGTAAGTTGGCCAAAAACTCACAGCTAGAAATAGTGGAGATGTGATCCTAGCCTGGGCAGGCTGGTTCTCGGCTCTTTCTGCTTTGCTGCCTACAAATGACCGTTTTATAACACTTGGGTTTTAAAAAAAAAAATTATTTTTTAGTTGTAGTTGAACACAATATCTTTATTTTAATATTATGTGGTGCTGAGGATAGAACCCCAGGCCTCACACTAGCTAGGCGAGCACTCTATTACTGAGCCACAATCCCAGCCCCCAACACTTGGGTTTTATATAATATGATGTTCATTGATATTTCCTCTTTTTCTGGTGGTGGTATTGATGCTGGTTGGGGACTGAGTATGCTAGACAGGTGCTCTGCCCCTGAGCTACATCCCAAGCCCCTGAGTTCAGTGAGTTTTGCAAGGGAAAGGAGGAAGAGGTGAAGAAACCTAGGCCTTAGGTCTGTGGAGAGGGCCATCTTTAAGTCTCAGCTTAGAAATTGCCCTTCTCAGCTGAAAACCTTCCAGAGACTGTGACACCACTCCCTCCCACAAGCCTAGTTGAATATCCTGTGTTTCTTTTTCCCTAGGTCTGTCTGCATGGACCAGGTCTTGTGCTGCACTGTAACTGGCGATTTAAATGTCTCTTTCCAGTTGGACTCCATGCTCAGCTAGGACAGGGCTTCCCTGTTCAGCTCTGTACCTCCAGAACTCAGCACAGTATCTGGCCCATAAAAGTTCATAAATAATACACATTCATTAATTCTTATGATGAAGTAATATAAATACTGTGCTAGAAGAGCTAATAATCAGTGACAGTTTTTTATTGAGTTTTTATTATAGTCCAGGTACTATAATTAAATTTTTTACATATTTTACACTGATAATTGTAACACTGAGCTATCATTTACCTAAACATGTTCTCTCATTTAATCCTCACCATAATCCTGGGAGTTAAGTATCTGTTTTACAGTTGATGAACTGGAACCAAGAGAGATTATTTGACTTGCTTAAGGTCAGCCACTATTTAAGCTGTAGAGCCTGGATTTGAAACCATGTCTGTCTCACTCCAGAGCATGTGGTTCGGCACTTTAGCACATTGCTTCTCTGGAAATTTCCACAGTTGAGTTAAGTTGAAGAAGTCATAGAGTTTACTGAGCTTGAAAATTCGTCAAGAAGCCTGCCCCAGTGTTGATAGTTTGCTATAACAAGAGAGCAGCAACAGCAAATGGGTTCAGTTACACARTGCAGCCATTCCTTCTGTGCACCTGCTCTTAGAGCCCATCCAGCCCCAGCATGGCATGGTGCTAACCTGTTGAAAAATAGATAGAGCTTTTCTACACCTGTCATAATAGCAGTTGTCTTGGTAGACACCAAATTGGTCTAATAAGACTGGTTGGCTTGTTAGATTCAAATGTGTAAAATGAGAAAATAGTGGTGACTACAACCAACATTAAATATTCTTAACGAGACATGGAACTGGAAAATGGGTGAGATCTAGTTAGACTGTCTGGTTGGTATTTCTATTGGAGACAGAGATGGAGACGTTAAAATATATGCCCTTTAAGCTGGGTGTGGTKGCACACATCTAGAATACCTGTTATCTGGGAGGTTGAGGCAGGAGGATTATAAATTCAAGTCCAGTCTGGGTAACTTAGCAAGATCCTGCCTCAAAATAAAATAAAAGGGCTAGGAATCTAGCTTAATTGAAAAGTGCTTTCTTAACATGTACAAAGTCCTAGGTTCAGTCCCTAGTTCTACTAAACAGAATACACACACACACACACACACACACACACACACATACACAAAATCAGCTAAAGGTTCAAAAAACGTTTTACTTTAATGATGCCAATCAATTCTAGAATTGTTAATTTGTATATTCAAAGATATTATCCTTTTATATTAAGAGTTATATTTCACATTTTAAGTAATACCAAGGGGTTTTTTTCCCCCTTCCAGTAGAAACATCTATAATTTACAGTGTGGCTGTTCTAGAATTATATTTTGGCAAAAAAGACTTATAAATTCTCTGTGTTATGTTTATGAGTGCAAATAAAATCATTTTTTGGATACAAAATATAAAATCTTTTTGTTTCTAGAAATTTTAATTCTTGTAATTTGATGAATGTACTTGGTAGTAGCTGTTACTACAAGTGAAAGCTAACCCATCTCACTAGTTGGCATTGATGCATGTGAATGTCCTCAGAAGTAAGCAGACGAGAGTTTTGGGTAGAAATAATAAAGAAGAAATAGGCCTGAGAAAACATAAAAGCTCTGTGGTATTGATGTTATACAAAAGGTTTGTTTTTCTCTTCTTTCAGACTGGTCGAATTGACAAATCCTACCCTACTGTGTGTGGTCACACAGGACCAGTGCTGGATATAGACTGGTGCCCGCACAACGATCAGGTCATTGCCAGTGGTTCAGAGGACTGCACGGTTATGGTAAGCTCCCAGTGTGGTGTTTGACCATTACATTCAAAAGTGTGTGTGTGTGTGTGTGTGTGTGTGTGTGTGTGTGTGTGTAGACAGAAAATCATAGCAGTTTTGACTGTCCATTGGATTATACAAGGATTTAGCTACATTAAAACTTAACTACAGATAAGCCTTTTACAGGCCCTTACATCAACAGATTGTATTCTATTTATTTATTTAATTATTTTTTGGGGTGTGTGTGTGTGTGTGTGTGTGTGTGTGTGTGTGTGTGTTTGAATGTATATGTATACAAGATTACTGACAGTTGACATCTGACTACAGGAAAATTTTGTGAACAGTAAAATAACTTTTTCAAATATATTTTTTAGTTGTTGATGTACCTTTATTTTTTATTTATTTGTATGTGGTACTGAGGATTGAATGCTAGGCAAGTGCTCTGCCACTGAGCCACAACCTCAGCCCCAGTAAAATKATTTTTTAAAGATTCTGTGAATGCTGGGCTGGGGATGTGGCTCAAGCAGTAKCGCACTCGCCTGGCATGCGTTCGGCCCGGGTTCGATCCTCAGCACCACATACAAACAAAGGTGTTGTGTCTGCCGAAAACTAAAAAATAAATATTAAAAAATTCTCTCTCTTTCTCTCTTAAAAAAAAAGATTCTGTKAATGCCTTTTGACTCTATGACACCGCCCGCCCCCGCCCCCCCCCAAAAAAAAAACTTGCTTGCACAAACTTGTGGGTTACAGTGCAGTAAGATGCCAAGGTTATGCAGATAAAATGGGATATGTAACAGGTATTGAGAGATAGTAAGAATTTTAGTAAGTGCTTTTTCCAAGCTGATGTCAGAAGGAAGGTGTTTTCTGTGCGGTGGACCCGCTTTAAATAGTCTTTTTCATGAAGATACACAAATAGGAAAAAAAAAAAAAACCTTAAAAGGTATTTACATTCCTTCATTTAGATTCCCAAACTAGGTTATATATGAAGCCAGACTTGGGGATTTTGTTTTGTTGAGGCAGGTTCTTACTGTGTTGTCTAGGCTGGCCCAGAACTTCTGGGGTCAAGCAGTCCTTTTTCCTGAGTCCCCCCAATAGCTGGGACTGTGKGCGTGTACCTCTATCCCTGTCTCAAGGGTACTGTTTAACGAAAACCTTCCTGTTCTTGATTAAATATGATGATAGGCTTGGATCAGTTTTCAATACCCAAAATATGTTGAAAAGTTTAGACGTAAGTATGAGAGGGAGCACGGCTGCCCTTGACATAAATGAAGCTCAATCGCTAATTTGTAAGGGGTATCAATAAGTGTCAGGTGACGAGCTCAAAGAGCCACACTACTATGTTTTCCTGTTATTTGTAGACTGAAACATTGTTTGGAATGCTTCATTAATTAAAATTATTTTGCATAAACAAATCAATTCCTGAACTGTTTTTTAAACATCTGCCCCCTTTTCCTTGTGGGCTTTTGGCTGAGGATGATTCCTCCTGTGATATAATTTTGGCAGCTAAAGGATATTAAAGAAATATGCTGCTGTTAAAAAGAATTTTTCTGTTTGATATGCCTTGCTTAAGCTCATCATTTTAATGGCTTCAGCTGTATTTTGCTAAGGGAAAAGAACATCATTTAGAACTGATGCCAAAGCACTGTAAATTAGTCTTGCCAGTTTAAAAAACTTGATATGTAGTCTTAAGTCTTTATCTTAATCTATAGGTTCCTCCTCCACCCTTTTCCTTACGGCATATTGTAGGGAAGAACTCTGACCTTTGACCCATGCTGTTCAGCTGTCTGGATTTTGCAGATTGCATGGTATCTCGCACCATATTCTTCTGTCTGAATTTCCTGCAGTTTGACAGCTGGATCCTGAAGTGTGGTCAGATKCACATTCAGTCTCTTGGGTTAGTGTTAGGTTCTTCCACCAGGAAGCACATGATGTGTAGTTTTCATTCTTTTTGATTTGTATGGCTGTTGGTGTTTGATGCAGTAATCCATCAGGGGGGTCACAAAATAGTGATATTCAATTTTTTCATTTTATTTTTAGTTTTTAACTGGTAAGAGAAATGCTTGATTATCTCCTTTAATTTACCTAGTTTTTAAGATAACAATTTGTTCTGTCATTCTCAGAAGGTGACCAATTAGTGTTGTGGTTTTGTGTGTGTGTGTGTTTTTTTTTTTTTTCTTAAATATTCTTCATTTGGACTCATGGATTTGTCAATTTCTCTCTAAATTTTTTTTTCTTCACTTCTTTTAGACTTTTGTGGGGGTTACTTATTTAGTTAATTTTTTATTTTTATCTTTTATTTTCTGGAGAACGTTATTTTTATGTTGTGTTCATTTACCCCAGGTTGGTGGCAAGTTCTGTAGCCTTTGCCTTTCCTAGCAAAGTTTGGATCAGGAACATCCCTCGCCCCACCCCTGCCCCAGTGATGATGGACCTCAAGTCTTCCATGTAATTGGTCCTAATAATTTCCACAGGCTTAGCCAGTGCTCCTTTTTCTTCCAAATTGACTTGCATGAAGGCAACAATGGCCCAGGCCTTAGTGAAGATCGCAGGTACCTGTGAGGCCTTCCTCTTGATGGTGTAGTTGGGAGATACCCTTCTTATGACATAGGGTGGGCAGGAAGATAACCAGTTCAATGGGACCCACATTGTGTATAGGCACTACTAGCTGAGCCTTGCTCTCCACCAAGGAGAGTGACACTATGAATCCTCAAGGACAGGTGGTCCTTTTTGCAGGCAGCTTTCTTCTCAACAAATGTCAGGTAACGAGCTCAAAAAGCCACATTGCTTACATAGTCCTAGCCCGGGCCAGGTCTCTGTTTCTTCTCTTACTTTGTCTCTCATCCGCAGCTGAGGGCTACCTTAAGCACTGGGTAACTTTTAGGCAGACTAAGACCTGGGTGAACTGGTGAGTCACAAGAGGCACTTTCAATTGTTGATGGGAGAATAGTCCTTTGCCACTGCAGCCAGATATAGTAGGGACAGTTTTCAAAATGCCAAGGTCCCTTTTGGGCTGATGTCTTATCCAGTGCAGAATTCATAGACCTTTGYTCAAGCAGGGGATTTGCCACCTTCTTGGCCTGCTTCTTCAAACCCCCCGCCCCCCAACCCCAGGCAGGGCCACCTTCTTCCCCTTGGCCTTCTTCCCTTTCAGCATCTTGGACAGCCAGGGGAGAGGGCTACTTTTTATTTCTTTAAGGTTCATTATCTGTTAGGTGTGTTTGTTCTCATGTTCTTTCTTGGCTAATCTTCATTTCTAAAAGTGATTTTACTTTAATTCCTAATTTTTTCTTGATTTGTTGAGTTTTAAGTTCTGATTAATTTTTCATGTCTTAAATTGTTTTCTTCATGTGTTTTATCTCATTTTGAAATAGTATCATAGTTATCTCTTTTTATTGAACGTGTTTGTTTAGCATGCTTTTATTATCTGCAAGGATGTTATCCTGTCCTTAATTCTTTAAAAGTCATTTTGTGGTTCAGTTTTATTTTTTCTTCTTATTTTTGTATGATTTTAAGAATTTATCTTTGTGTGAACTTTCCCAACCTTTTCCGACTTGGCTGAGATAGTTGTCCTAACTTCACAGCATATCTTCAGATAGTGTTCACAAACATGGCAGCTTGATTTTCTAAGGTTTTTCTGGCTTGTTTTTCTTTGGCCTTTCTCATTTCTTTTGCTCCTGTGAATGCTGCCTGCTCTAATTTGATCCTTTCCCTGGGCTTCTCCTTAGTGTACGTGGTGTTTGTCCTGGAAGGACATCTGGTCAGTTTCAGGAATCCTGGGTCTAGAGTATCCTTCAGACTTTTTTATTGAGGGCTCCTGTGGTCACTGCTGTTGGAAAGGACAAGACCCCTCCCAGTTTCCAGTGCCCCACTGATGGTCCCTCTGCACACCCAAGGCTGATAGCAGGCAGATCACATGGCTGTTGGCGATTTGCCTCTACACACTTGTGTTTTGGGTCTGCACCAAATTTTGGTATCTGTTCTGTGTTTTCATGGAGAGACTTGGAAAATCTGAAAATCCTACTGCCATTGAGACCAGCGTCTTCCCAGAATCCTCTCATGTTGCCCCTTCATCCGGTGTTTCTGGAGTGAACATTCTATACATTAAAAAATGCTTTGGGATAAATCTTCCAAAAAATTTAAAACCCTTTAATATGGAACTGATAATTTACAGCATTCTTTAATGACTAATGACTCACAAATCATATGTAGTTATTAGGGTAATTGAAGCCTTTAAAACTGATCAACTGAAATGAAATTTTAAAAAAATGTTTGATCTCCTGTTCTACCTATTTCTTTCTTTCTTTTTTTTTTTAAAGAGAGAGAGAGAGAGAATTTTTTAATATTTATTTTTTTGTTCTTGGCGGACACAACATCTTTGTTTGTATGTGGTGCTGAGGATCGAACCTGGGCCACAAGCATGCCAGGCGAGTGCGCTACCGCTTGAGCCACATCCCCAGCCCTCTACCTGTTTCTTAATACCTAATTTTCCACTTTGCTCTCCTACAGGTAAAAGAACACTGTACAATAGATCAAATGGTTTCCTATGACACCTTTTTTTTTTTTTTAAATAGAAAAACTCTCAGGAGTTTCTTAAGTGTAGGCTGTTGATAGTAGTTCACAAGCTACAGATGGTAGATAGTGTAACACAGTCTTATTCCAGTTGATGAAGGGTACCAAGAAGAGCCACACACTAGGAGTTCTGGGCTCAGGCAGGTTGCTTAAACACTCAGCCCCAGATGCCTTATGTGTAAAATGGAGATATAGTAATAATGCCTATTTAAGATCAAAAGGAAGCTATAAATGAATAATGATTTTTTTTTTAATAATGAGTTTTAATGTGTACCTATAGTGGATTCATGGCAGCAAGATCGCCTTTAACACAAATTTGGTGTCTTTTAAAGATGGCTTCTTTAAGTAGCCTCAAAGCAATTTTCCCTCAAAGCAAACTAATTATATTGACACAGTTTAGTATTTATGTACTTTTTTTTTTTTTAAGACAGACTCTTGCCAAGATG